CAATATCAAGTGACTTTTTGAAAGCAAAGAAATCGGCAGGTTAATGACTGGCCACGTAATCCACGCAAACGGTGGTGTTTGTTTTGCTGAATGATTCATAACTTGACTTTGGCATGGAAAATTAAATCTTCGGAATCTCCATGAACCTTGTATATCTACTTACGGGCGAGGCAAAGTATATAAAAATTGACCTTTACTCGCCGAGCCTCATTTTTTAGTTTTGTAAGAACACTGCAGGTAGCTAATGTCAGATAAACGGTCCAAATGTTTTGTACGAACTCATATATGTGTCACGCTGATGCCATACTCTAAGCCATCACACGTCTTTCCTTCGATTGCTCGTCCGACTGGCAAGCCTGTCAGCTGAACAGCCTCGCCTCGTTTGTGTCACGCCTCATCCTTTATGCGTTTCCCCCACCATTCGAGCTGACATCAGCTCCGGTAACCCAAAAACTCTGCTCGCTTCCTTGAAAGCGATCGCAGCCGCTTGTCGATACAGATGGGTTGCGTCTCCGCCCGTCACTCCAGTGCCCGCCACTGCCAGGCTTCTTTCAGTGGATGGCGCACTGCAGCGCCCCAGCAAACCACTTGCTCAACAGCTGAACGGCGATTCGGCCCGAGTCTCTCACTCAGCCTATCGCGTCGAGGGGTGCTATATGGATCAACTAAGGAACTGTAGCAGTTGAGCAGTGGTTCGACCTGAGCCAGTCACCCAGCCTATCGTGTTCAGGGGTGCTGCACGAATTAACTAAGACAGGTACTGCTAATGGGTGCGCAAATGGAGAACATTGGATGTCTGGGCGAAAATCCACGCGCCAGTTTTTTCAGCTATTTTCTCCTTTCTCTGCTAAAGTTGTATTCCAAATTCTGCCATCCCGAAAATCAAAAAGCAACAGGTAGAATCTTGGACTGATCTATCCCTCAAGACTTGTCGGCAAAAAAGAGCGCTGAGCAAGACTGTCTTCCATATCCTCGGCTATGACCTATCACTCCCGTAATTGGGAGGGACAGAACACACGTATCGGACAAATCTCTCGGCATATCGACGCGGCCTTTTAGGGTGGGCTTTGAAACATCAAACCGATGTTCCAAAGCTCACGCCACAAGAGACCGCAAGACCGAGACCAGCCTAACACTCATGCTACACTTAATCACATTCAGAACGTTTTTGGAAACCACTCATAGCCACTGTCACAGCTACTCTGTTTCCCACAAGTCAGTGGTGTGTCTGAAACATAGGTTTATTTGGACAGCGGAGTATTTGGGAGCGTCTGGAAGAGGCCAAGGCTCTCACAAGAAATAATGTGCTGACCAAAGCGTGGTTTGCCCGCCAGCTGACGGGTCACCAGTTCGTCAATCAAGGGAACCCATTGACCCCCTGTGATTTTGCGAGTTCTCCGGGGGGAGGGGGCGGGGGGAACAGAGACGATCCTGTGGTTCGGTCACTAAACCGTCGGTATGGATCACCCAAGCACCAGCTTCGATCCCCGAAATCAGCGCCGGCAGCCGGCAGACGTAAAATCGTGGTAATGGCCATTTGCAGTAGTTTTGCTTACCCTTTCAGATGAATAGAAATATTTACTAAGGACGATTATATGAATGCTGCAGTGTACTTTTGAACAACGTGTAACTATGGGTTCTTAAACCGCAATAGTTCCGGAGCTCTTAAGGGAATGTCCCCGTGGATCGTAATATACATATTCCCACGATGTGTAATCCTTGGCTCCACGTAAAAATATGATCGAAGTAGCAGAAATCTTTCGCTTTTATATATCCTTGCCTTTATGCAGTTTGGTAGTCGCCTCCAGCCGACCAGCCAGCGCTTTATTTTTGTCTTGTGTTTTGTTTTGTTTTGTTTTTGTTTTTCATGCGTGAGGCTTCCAAACAGCGCTTCGCAGCGTCGGAATACTGCCCGCATTTCTCGTCCGAACTACTGCATCTATTTATAGGCATGGCGTAGGTTATGGAACGTGTGATACGCTGTACTAGTAGAAAGGGAAAGCCTTTACTGTTATAACAGAAACTCCAAATGCCTTTCAAAAGTCGTAAGTCCAATGAGAGACCGGAAACGACCATCGACGTAATCACCCCTTAAATGTTGCTAGGTCCATTTCGATTTTGGTCCATGGCGTAAGGTTAAAACGGAACAGTAATCCAATTAAACTGATACTTAGGACCTGACCACGCTGCCATTAGGGATTGTTTCACCCATGGAAAAAATGTATATGTATATATATATATATATATATATATATATATATATATATATATGCATTTATTTATTTATGTTTATACATAAAATGCATATATAAGTTATAAGAGATGTATATATATATAAATATATATGTATATATACACATATACATCAAACGTGTACGGCCACCTTCTTCTGGTCATGTGCAGCAACGGTCTTCCTACACTGCGGTTCGGCACACACCAGATCCTGGCTCCTGATTCTCATTTAGATGCTCGGACAAATCGATAGCAAATTAGGAGGGACAATCGGGAGGGTAAGAGCGCAAGTCGTTAGGCATTCTGTCGCATAGTGCTCCGGTCTTGTGGCGTGCACCCTGGTGCGTTAAAGGGAGTATTCCATCTTTTCTCCGCTTGCTTATTGGCACATCAGACGTGTATGACTTAACCAGTGATTTTGTGTTCATTGCAATACTTCTGGAAAGGTCAGAATTTTGATTTGAAGTAGGTGAACCGGTAAGAGAACTTTCATTTGACTCCCTGCTTACCACTATGAAAGTAAAACACTTCATTTGCCTTGCTTTTTCCAACGCATGCCCCTTTAGTGTTTGGCAACACACTCATGTGTCAAAATATCTATGCCATAAGCTACGAAAGTTTGAAACACCGTTTAGGCAAAAAGATATGCAGACACGAAGCTGTTATCTCGTGAATTCAACGAAGCGTTGTGCTATGGTTTTGATTTCTTTCCTGTGGCGTTTACCACAGTAGCTCTTTCCGAGACGTACTTTGGCTTTGGGAATGGGAGCATTACATGATGCATGTAGCACACTGATTCAGACTTCAATCAATGCACTTCTCTGTAACAGGCGCTTGCCCGCTGGGCTAATCACAAACGTCCTTTTATTTGCACCAGGAAGGGTGTGTAGGATGGTTGTCAAGGCGACGGTGGTCGCGACTGCAGGGAAGACTGTAATAACGCTGGATTGTGCTGGGACAAAGCGTGAACAACGTAATATGGATTCGAAAATAACTAGAATTGCTATCCTCACAATATAAGTGCTGCAGTTGCCTGACCAGTGTTATTAAACTATCTAGTCCTAAGGTTTCACCAGAGTATGTTTTGAAATATGCCTCAAGGGCGGGAAATTCCCTTGAAGCCACTTGGAGGTTTACCTAAAGCTCAAGCACGCCCAGTTACCTTCAGTGCGTTTTCACTTGCCTCGTTGACCTGTGGCCACGGCAGAACTTGCGGCATGATTAGCGGTCTGTTGCAGGCGTTTCAGGCGCACCAGAGCCGGGGCCGCTGCTGGAAGGCTGGTGGACTCGAATCACGGTCATCCGCTTCAACGTCTTAAAAATCTGGTTTCTTCTTGTGGCGGCGACCTCGCAAATAATCAAATGATTTCCAAAACGCGAAAGGCGGTGATAGGTCACCGCTAGGCAGACGAGGAATACCTTTCAAAGAACGTCCCTTTGATAACTGGGTTACAGATAACAGTGGATTCATGCTGATCTTTGATAAACTGGGTCGCAGATAACAGTGGGTTCATGTTGAAATTATTAAGAAACGTAACAGTTTTGATTGGTGTCGTTTACGAGCTTCGCCACCATTCTCCCTCTGGTCGACTAGGCCTGCCATGGCCGTGCGGCAAGAAGCTGCGCGTCCGCCGCATGTAAAGTGACACATCACACACGCGGCACGTATTTAGCAAGTGTGCGGAAATTAACGTCAGGCATGCTGACGCCGTGGTGCGGCTGGGCGCCGGGCGGGCCTTATTTCATCATTAATGACCTCGGCAAGTCGACATTACGGAGCGGCACGATTGATGACTTGGACGTGGATGGGCACAGTGTCTGCGATACTCCATCTTGTCATAAGTCAACTTATCCGGCAGTGATGGATACCACAGAGATCGCACTCCACAGTGTGCTGGATTTGAACTTCCAGCGGCTCCACTGTTGCGTCTCCCGAGGCGACTGGCAGCGCTATAATTCAGCGCCAGTAGCCCACAGCGTGTCCATGCTCTGTCCCCAGGCGAGCAGCGATGAGTCGCCCAACCCCAGACGGCCGCCCCCGTGGTCCCGATGGAGGAGCGTGCAGTAATTTCCGCAATGTTTCTAGGGCACGGAGGTTACTCATTTGATGGATGAAGTGGGCGAGAGACAACTTGAAAGATGAATTCAATGGGAGCGCGAGAGAAGCGGGACGGGGCTTAGTGAGGGGATAGAGCAGGATGGAGAGAGAGATACACACACACACACACACACGCACACACACACACACACACACACACACACACACACACACACACACACACACACACACACACACACACACACACACACACACACACACACACACACACACACACACACACACACACACACACACACACATATATATATATATATATATATATATATATATATATATATATATATATACAGGCGAATGGAGGGAGAGGGAGGTCAGAGTCTAGACTATGTATCTGTAGTTGATTCCACAAATGAGCTTCATAGCTATAAACTCAAAAACCCATTGTGTGGGACGATCAAATGTTAAGAAAGTATTTGTCATTGCATGCTACTGCCTTTGTCGCATCGTTGTCCAGACCTCTTGAACGTCTTGGTTCTCTTGCCTCTACATTACTATATGGACAGGAGGCCTGCACTGAGGTTGGCATTGCATCGTGGTCCGTAAAACAGTGGCGTTTGTCGTACCCCCGTGACCCTGCAGCGGTCGTCAGGTGCTGTACCTACCCGCTCACCAGCACCCGCCCGTCACATCCGCTTGCTGTCCGCAGTGTCTCCGGAGACCGTGTGGGTGCCGATAGTCTGCTGCATCGCTGCATTCCCTGCGCTCGTGCTGACCATTGTGATGCTGCTGCGACACCGGGCCATGCGAGCTCGAGCCAGGTCCCGCATCACGCGCAAAAGGTCGGTCAAGTCCGCCGCTGCTCAGACGGGACGGTCCAGACTGAGTGCCCCAGCGCTGGCCGCGCTGGTGATACTGACTCCTCTCTGCGGGCGGGACGGTCAGGTTGAATGGGGCCTCGTTGTACTGCTTGGCCCCAGCCTGAGCGCAATGCGCGTCGAAGAGATTGAGCGCTCGGTGAAACCGGTGTGAGTAAGGGTGAACGGGTCGTTTTGCTGTCGCTGAAGAGTGCATTGCCTGCGACTCATGTTTGTATGTACCCTGCTCTGAAGCGTCGAGATTCGTGCGATCTCTTTCTGTTTTAAGACAGAGTGTGTGGGGAGTTAAGTTAACGTCCATCACATACTGGTGCACGTAACGATAAATTACCGCAGCAGAGTCGAGCTACGATAAATACCGAAGTGCATTAAGGAAAGACATTATCAAAGGATGATATAAACTGCCGTGTATTCTGTTTCTCCAAACGTGATGGCTTAACAGCGGACGTTTGCTAGCGGTGTGTGTCGATTCATGCCAGGCGCCTAATGTATGTACGTCTTTCAGAGAAGCGGTTCGCTACACGCAGGCTGCCAACAAGTACTGCAAGGTTAAACTGCAAAATTACGACGGGCTAGGTGAGAAATTATGGCAGTAAGTTGTCACTCGTCCCAGAATGTACTTTACCAAATATCGGAATATCCCTTCTGCCTTAGCTCGTGCGTGTGGTATGGCATTTTGTCTCAGTGCGTTTTAATCTCGGAGGACGGCTCTGACTGCCGACCGACTGTTTTGACACATCCGTGCGCAAGCAGGCATCTGGCAAAGAGGCCACTAGAGTTTGTAGAAACTCGCGTAGACCATTGGCGATGGTGGTGGGACGGTGCATTTCCGAAAAGTTTCGACGGTAATGACGACGGCGGACGTAAATGGCGCTCCTCCCTACGGCTAGGCTGAATCTTTAATAATCTTCTCACGGTCTTCCTTTCCAATTTCATAACCCTAATATGGTGTGAGAACGAATTTGAATTTCCTTTCATGTTTCGTCACACTGTGGCACTGCTGGCACTTTGGCACGCTGTGGCACGTCACTACCTGTGGCTAGGCATTTCGTATGCATACCTCACTTGGGTTGGAATAATTTTCCAGGACTTTGATCGCTGCGGGATTTCTACCCTCCACCCTTTGTCTCGGCAGGAATTACAACCGAGTCCACGGTGCTGGAAAGCTATTTTACCTGCGCTATGTTGTGTTGTATAATACCGGCATGCATATGCTTTTCTTCTGCGGACGTCATTAAGTGTACAATGGTGTGTGTGTACTTGAACTGGGCCTGTCGCTGAGACACATTGCAATTGGATGTATCAATCGTAATTGTGTATTTAAGATGACATACATGGAAACACAGCTGATGCGAATGGAATCCAGAACAACGGATTAACCAAACATCACGGAGTGCTTTTTGCATGATTGTAACTCACTAGCATGACAAAGCGCCGCATCATTTCCAGAGACTGTGGAAGGCAGAGACCGAGATGCTCAGCTCACAGGGACTCGCATGAATGGCAGGTGAGCCATTCGGCTGGTCTCCCCTTTCAGCAAACCGAAAAGAACAATAGCATCTCACCACTGACTTCCATTTCCAGCTCGGTGCTATCACCGGACGGAAAACCTGAAAGCATTGCCCCAGACCGGGTCCGGTCCATTTCATCTCTCTTCGCCCTATTGGTGGTTTCGATGAGCGTTCGAACTCGTTCACATTTCCTTTCCGACGAATGCCAACATCAGAGAAGTTCAATATTGGAACATCATATCATAACATCGGAGGTTCTTCAGTTCCGGGTTTGGGACAGTCAACTGAATACCAAGTTATCGTGATTAAAAGGACACATCACTAGCCGGCAAAGCGAGACCGGTCCAAGAAAACAAACGAGTACTCACATCTCTCTCTCTCTCTCTCTCTCTCTCTCTCTCTCTCTCTCTCTCTCTCTCCTCTCTCTCTCTCTCTCTCTCTCTCTCTCTCTCTCTCTCTCTCTCTCTCTCTCTCTCTCTCTCTCTCTCTCTCTCTCTCTCTCTCTCTCTCTCTCTCTCTCTTCTCTCTCTCTCTCTCTCTCTCTCTCTCTCTCCTCTCTCTCTCTCTCTCTCTCTCTCTCTCCTCTCTCTCTCTCTCTCTCTCTCTCTCTCTCTCTCTCTCTCTCTCTCTCTCTCTCTCTCTCTCTCTCTCTCTCTCTCTCTCTCTCTCTCTCTCTCTCTCTCTCTCTCTCTCTCTCTCTCTCTCTCTCTCTCTCTCCTCTCTCTCTCTCTCTCTCTCTCTCTCTCTCTCTCTCTCTCTCTCTCTCTCTCTCTCTCTCTCTCTCTCTCTCTCTCTCTCTCTCTCTCTCTCTCTCTCTCTCTCTCTCTCTCTCTCTCTCTCTCTCTCTCTCTCTCTCTCTCTCTCTCTCTCTCTCTCTCTCTCTCTCCTCTCTCTCTCCTCTCTCTCTCTCTCTCTCTCTCTCCCTCTCTCTCTCTCTCTCTCTCCTCTCTCTCTCTCTCTCTCTCTCTCTCTCCTCTCTCTCTCTCTCTCTCTCTCCCCTCCGGCGGGACCATCATTCACGCCTCGCCGCCTCGCATCAGCGGCGGGTCGGCCCCGACCGCGTCGGTAGCTGACGGACGAGCCGGAGCGGGGACGGTACCGGGGCGGGCATGGTACGGGTCGCGGCCGTCCCGACCGATGACCGCACCGTCGACCCTGACGCCGTCTCTCCTCTCCCGTGGGCCGGCCGCCCGACGGCCAGCGCCGTGGCCGATAAGTCGCCTGCCGGCTGGCGGTCTCCGCCATACCAAGGCTGTCGGCAGGTCGCACGTCTGTCCGGTTCGGCTGTCGGGCTGGGAAGACCTATCGGACAGGGCTGTCCGGCTCGGCTGACGGGCTGGAAAGGCTTGTCGGACATGGCTGTCCGGGTCGGTTGTCGGGCTGGGGAGGTTTATTGGACTGGCTTGTCCGGCTAGGCTGTCGGGCTAGGAGGCCTTTCGGACAGGGTTGTCCGGCTTGACTGCTGGACTAAAAAGGTTTATCGGACAGGGCTGCCCGGCTCGGCTGTCGGGCTGGGAAGGTTTCTGGGACAGAGCTGTCCTGCTCAGCTGTCAGGCCCTGGAGGTTTATCGGACGGGGCTGTCCGGCTCGGCTGTTGGGCTGGGGAGGCCTACCGGACATGGCTGTCCGGCTCGGCTGTTGGGCTGAGCAGGTCTATCGGAAAGGGTTATCCGGGTCGGCTGTCGGACTGGGGAGATCTGTCGGACAGGGCTGTCCGGATCAGCTGTCGGGCTGGGGGGTTTATCGGACGGGGCTGTCCGGATCGGTTGTCGGGCTGTGGAGATTTATCGGACAGGGCTGTCCGCATCAGCTGTCGGGCTGGGCTGTGCGGTGGGCGCCCATTCATCGTAATATTTTGATATCATGGAGAGATTTAATGCACAATGCCATCCGAGAAGCTACAGTAATAATAGCGCACGCACTCTGTAATTTCTGACGAAGAGTCAATCTTTGTTTTTCCCTCCGCTCCTCTCTCATTTGTCCACGCCCTCTCATCTTTGTGTATGTTTTGTCCCAGTCTGCTCTGCCATTCTCCAGCTGTCTTGCTCGGATGGGCCAAATGGGATGTCTGATGACGAGCGCGCTTTACGGGCCGTCAGCGTTCTCTCGCAAAATATGGGACAATGACGTGAACTACCTGCATTTGGAATATGAAAACGTCGACGATGAAAACACGGGGAAACGGGATGCGGTGCGTTGAAGGCCACGCGTTTCAAGCGTTCATTCGTATGCCTTGAAGCGAAAGAAGTTCGTGCTTAATGAAGAATAATGCTCGTGCTACCGAACGCTGTCAAAGTTGCCTGCCTAAATTACTACGCATTTTGCGTTAAACTTTGCTCCTATTCGTGTTTGTAACCCAGTTGATATAACTGTTCAGGCTTTCACATAACTCATCCAAACTGCGTCGATGGGTTGTGGATATCAATGGCGTCCGGACCCGTTTGGAGTGAGGCGCTCGTCCATCAGCCGTCGCTCGCGCGCTGACCCGCCGTGCGGTCGGGCTGCCGCAGCTACACCATCAGCACCGACCTGGCGACGGCTGTCGACCGCTCGGAGGTCACAGACGGCGACGCCTCCACCTTCGACATCGCCGGTATCGTGGCCGGCGGCGGGCGCAGAGCGGGCCGACTGGCGGCCAGCGGCACCGACGAGGACATCGCCTCGGGCTGCTCCAGCCAGGAGTGGGATGAGCCGGGTAGCCGGGTGAGCAAGTGAGCCGGGTGAGCAGGTAAGCTAGGTGGGCAGGTGAGCTAGATGAACAGGTGAGTTGGGTGAGCAGGTAAGCCAGGTGAGCAGGTGAGCCGGATGAGTAGGTGATCCGGATGAGTATGTGAGCCGGGGGAGCAGGTGAGCCGGGTGAAGTGGTAGGCCAGGTGAGCAGATGAGCCGGGCTGAGCTGGTAAGCCAAGCGAGCAGGTGAGCCGGATGAATAAGTTAGCCGGATGAGCAGGTGAGCCAGATGAGCAGGTGAGCCGGGGGAGTAGGTGAGCCAGATGAGAAGGTGAGCCGGGTGAGTAGGTGATCCGGGTGAGCAGGTGAGCCGGGCGAGCAGGTGAGCAGTGAGCCGCCGCTGGGCAGGCGACGTGCTCAGTCGCCGCCGTCGGCCGGTGCCCCACGCCTGAGTGACGGCTTCTGGGACCCTGCCACAGGTCACGGTCAGCGGAGCGCACTCAGTGCTGGCAATACCATGTCCGTTTGTCTGATAGTGCGAGATTGCCGGCAGTACGCCATGCGTCTCAAGATCCCTTTTGGCAGATGAGCCGCCTTATATGTATGCTAGATTGAGCCCGTAACAGGAAAGCAAGTTTTAGCAGCTTTACGTGCGATATTAAATTGGATGGGTGGCCCTTAAAAGAACGGAAGTTTAATGGTGCCGCGCATTATTATACAGGCTGAATGCCAGGAACTGAGATGGATTGCATAGTACTTTGACGCTGAAAACGAGGCAGAATGGAAGGAGGTTATCAGACTAATCCAGTCAGATGGCAGGGCTCGGTCAATATTGCTCCGTAGGGCGCCGATAGCATCTTGTTAAGTCACAACAATGCTAGTAATTGAAAACAAACGAAGTATGGAATCGAATAAGAAAGCAATTATAAATTCAAACAAATCCTGAGTGAAGTACTGTGGGCATGTAAGGGTATTAAGCTTGAGACCAATAAATCCCGGGACTGGTGACGGTTGGTTCGAAAAGGAATAGTGCGATTGTGCGGCATAACAACGTGCAAATGCTCCCAGCGCAGGTCACAGCAGTAAAATAAAAGATTGAAAAAAACGCAGACAGCTCTGGAAGAGCAAACTATTCCTGAATAACCTCTGGGGACCTTTGTTAAACAGCAAAAACTAACAAATAGTGAGGAAAATCACAATTGGTTGTTTTTTAGATCGGAAGTGAGTTAATGTCATAAGAAACAGGAAGCGAAAGATTCAATGTTGATACAATGAGAACTAATTTATTATAAAATGCATTTCAAAACTAACGACACAATCTTCAGGTCACTGTAATACATTCATGAAAGAAGGCTTTCTGGCCAACAATCTTCTTTCCTTATATGGTATTGCGGACTCCGACGAATGTCAGATATGCCGTTCCGCAACCTGAAACTTTGCGTCATAAATTACCGATGCGATATAGTCAGATTCCTCTGCCATAACATTAGGGACATTCTCGGTGAGCCGAGTAACACAAGAATGAGAGAAGCATGTCCGTGAGTGTAACGTGTTGAGGGACCGAGGTCAAATGCATGAATTGAGTCTTCTTCTGGTGAAACAGTTTGATATGGCAATCTTGAAGATAACATGCTAGTAGCGGAAAGACGGGACTTTAGCGGCACGTTCACATGTACTCTGAGGCTCAACAGCATACATGTAAATTGAAAGAAATGGGACGACCCTACGAGGACCTTTGGACCTCAGCTTTTATGATAGTTTGTGTATTAAACCTACAGCTCTAGATTATCGACAGCTAGTTTTCCGTTAAAACCACACCCTGCCAACGGAAATTTTGCTGTGCGGGGGGTTAAAAATGGAATGATGAGGTGTGTAGAGTGTGCCATGCGTATTTTTAATGAAACTGGAGCCAGAGGAATCTGTTGATTTCAGAAAGGGATTGGATATGTTGCACTCAAACTGGCATTTTTAACAGACTGCCGGAAGTTAAAAACCTTTCTCCGTGCTTGGGCGGCTCACTCGTGGGGGCCACTCGGCCGGGCTCTCGGAGCTCTCAACTAGAAAGCACCATTAGCGTCTGACCTTTGCACCGGTTGTGGAGGAAGCTGAATGTCAACGGTAGCGCATTTACGCTTAACGCAAAACCTCGAGAACCATAGCGGGTTTCGTTTAATGCGCGCCTGCTTCGTCGGTTTCGCGACCTGCTTAAGGGCGGACCAGCATTGGTTGCTCGGTTTACGCCTTGCGATCAGGTGGGCCAGTGGCGTTTTTGGTTCGCCAGCTGCGAAAGCGTTGGACAGCGTCAGTTGCTTGGTCCACCACCTGCCAAACCATGGACTAGCAATGGCTGTTTGGTTGGCTGCCTGCCAACTCTACGTCCAATCTGCCGGTGCCAAATAAAGTAACAAAAGGAAAACACAGCGGCGATCCCGCACGTGGTCTTAAACTTAAATTGGCCTTATTGGCAGCGATATATGATTGGAAGTCTGTCAGGTATGGTCTACAAAGGTCAAATCAAAGTTTGTCATCTCTGTGTGACTTTTCGTTTTCGTGCAGAGCAGGCTGTTTCAAGTTAGTGCCGCTAACCTCTTCCAAGAAATAATTACTTCGGGAGTTTTCCGACACTTCTGTTTTCTGACTTGCAGAACCTTTGGCTTTGATTGATTTGCTTAGCTGTTACAACTTCAATGGCATATGGCCGTCATTTCAGTTCATGATGCAACGATTTAGCAGGATAATTTGGCGTCATATTTTGTATTTTACCTAATGGGACCAGGACCTCGAACGACCTTTACAAAGCTCACGTGATTTACAAGCTCACGTGATTTACAACCACGGGGCCATTAAAAACATCGCCTAGCGTGCGCATTCAAGAATGATCGCGGTCATCGGAGCACCAGTCACATGTTAGCCGTGCAGATCATTGAAAATAAGATCAGCTCATCTGGCGTGTCAACATAAGAAGGGTCGCAGAAGTGCCAAGCGTCCACACTCTTTTGACCAATGCGACATCATGATGCGCTCAATGGTTTGGAGGTACCTCTGAAAACCGGCAAGTGTTACGCCAGTTGTGCTTGCGGGGCCAATATGACTAAAAATTGAAATGCGATTTGTCCCATTTCACGGTTTCGTTTGTACTTTAGCTCCCTTTAATCGCTTGCACGACCAGTGACCCTGACATGATGTTTCGTTGGTGGGCTGGACACATTATGGGAGCTCCATCGGTCATCATTAGGCACGATGAGTTAGTCTGAAGACATCTACAAGCTGACTTCGTATGACGGGTCCCAAGTTAACAGCATATCGACATTGATGTTCGTCGCGAAGTGAAAGAACTTGGTAGTTGAAATATGCATTCGCGTCTGAGAAGTGCAAATCTGATAAAGATAAACGAGTGGATAGGTGTGCCTCCTTTCTCTGACGAATGTTCAAAGCTTCACTCCATATTTCACGAGCATGTACAGTCCTGGCCTAATGGAACACTCCACACATCCACCACCAGCTGTGGACGGATATGTGGCCGTCGGCTGCTATAGTTCTCACCCCTCGTCCCCAGAACCAGCCTCAGCGCGCCGGGCGGTGGCGCTGGCTCCCGCCGCCGGCGACCCCGCCGAGCGGGGCGCCGCTTCAGCACTTCTTCGCAGCTCTCCTGGGGTCGGGGCGGGGATCTGACGGGTCGACGATCGACCAGCGGCCTCACGAAGGCCAGACGGCTGATATCGAGCGCCAGCACACTGCAGCGGCTATTATTCCCTCGACAGCCGGCCAGGGAATCGCTTTGTGGTCACGCCGCCGGGGCGGTCCGCGAGCGGACGCGGGTCTGACCTTCAGCAGCGAGGCGAGGTTGGGACGGAGTGCGATCAATTTATAATCCGGCCAGCCGCTATTTAAAGCACCGCGCCGTCCAGGTGTGCGGCAGGGCAATTCAACACGGCCCGGTCAATTTCCCCAGGAGTTCGGGTGACAAAGCCCATTAATACTCCACCGTCAGCGAGTTCTGAAAATGCTTTCTACTTGGGTGGCAGTCTTCTTGGAATGTCAGCTTCTGCAGAAGGTGGGAAAATTCGTGCCTGCATTTATGATGTAATGCACGGTGTTTGTCTTATAGCTGCACCCACTCGTTGCGAACTATAGTTGCTATCTCTGTTTCTTAATAGACCCTTGTTATTCTTTTAAAAAGAGATGCCAGCACGCCGAGGTGCGGCATTTCATCACAGAATATGATGAAATACCGCAATTAGCACCTCACAATAGCGCCATCACCGAACACGATGGCTGTTACGTGCCATTTACTAATACCTTGTACTTGGTTCCCTGCGCTCGTGCCTCCGAGACTACTTCTGAAAGCGAATGTTTCAACATGCGAGCAGTCGATCGCAGTTAAGGTGTTTCTATGCTGCATTAGCATCGATGTCAAGAAAATGCGTCATATTGATCTTTAGCAACACATTGCCATTACAAACCAAGGCCCTACACATTTTTAAGCTTCCAGTAGAGTCAGGCAGTACGTATTTTTGCTGATGACGGAAGTCGTATTTGAATTGCCCTCAATATGGTGACATAAGTATGGTCCCCGCGCTGTAAAGTCAAATTGCTAATGTATCTCAAAGCGCCATGCATTATTGGACACATCATGTCTGTATGTTCAGGACGCATTGCTTTCGACCCAATTTATGAACAACCAACCTCTGTGCTGCAGGAAAAATAAAACTTAAGTGGTTTCAGTGTGCACTTTCGCATTAATTATCGGCTAATATTTACTGTGTCTGGGAATGATACAGCAGAGACTTGCCTCATGGCGAGCCGGGCGAGGTAAGCCAGCCAATGCGGAGTAGGTGTTGCCGTCCGAAAAAAAAACATTTGGTTCTTGCCATGGGGCTGCATGGCTGGCGCAAGGGACACGACTGATTGCCATGGGGCTGTCTGGATAGAGCAACAGACGCGATCGATTGTCATGGGACTGTATGGCTAGAGCAACAGACGCGATCGATTGACATGGGACTGTATGGCCAGAGCAACAGACAC